CTCTCTCTCTCTCTCTCTCTCTCTCTCTCTCTCTCTCTCTCTCTCTCTCACACACACACACACACACGAACACACACACACACACACACACACACACACGCGCACGCACGCACGCACGCACTGTGTCTGTCTTCCACTCAGTAGAGGCAAAACCCCGACCCTAGCGCCTAGGACAACCCAGGCGAACGAAGATAGCGATGCATCAACAGCATAGTTCAATTATTTATCAGTCTCGACGTTCTCGTTCTCTTCCGCTCCGTCGTGTCCACTTTGAACTGCATGGCAAACGAAAACCCCCTCCCCCATCCTCCACGATACGCCTTCGCAAACCTCTCCTTCTCCCTTCTCCGCTTATATTCCTCTCTCTACTTCAATTCCATCGCGATTGCAATTGCAAACCGCGCATACCTCTGGTCCGCTCCCCTCGATTGCACCCACGTGCCACAGGACAGTGAATAAGCCCACCCTTTGCTCCCAGCCACAGCGGGAGGATTGGCAAATTCGGCCCCGGGACCATGGCCTGCTCCCCGCAATTGCACCTGCCGCAGCCCAGCCACCAGCACCCACCCGCACAGCAGCGAAGGCAGCATCAACAGCCGCTGCGGCGACAGCAGCAACCGCAGGCAGGAGTAAGACGAACAAAAAGCGAGAAGAGAGGAGCAGGAGGAGGGGAAGGAGGAGAAGGAGGAGAGGGAAAACAACGACGACGTGAAAGAAGAGGATAACGACAAGAAGAAGAGCACGAGAACGACAACAACGAGGAAGGACAATGAAGCAGCAGCAGGAGGCGGGCGACGAGGAGGGCGAAGAGTGTGTGTTGACAAGGACGGAACACGCTGAGCACGAGAAGCAGGACAAGGGCGGAGGAAAGGGGGCAAAACACCAGAGCAGAAGAAGAGAGAATGACGAGCAGCAGCACGAGGAGCAGCGTGAGGAGGTGGAGGAGGAGGAGGAGGAAGAGGAGAAGCGCAAGCCGTGTGTTGGCGTTTGGAAAGTAATGCTCGCAACAGTGTTTCTCTTGTTGCCGATAGAAAGGCTTAGCCAAAAAGCCCACTCACTCACCAAATGTGTGCGTTCACACACACAACCAACACTCGTTCGCGTTCGCGCTGTCACTTGAACTTCAGTCGAACCCGCCCGCTCCCCTGTAACCCGCTTTGAATGAAAATGAAAATGAAAAATAGACGGCAATGTCTAAACCCCGCCAGCGCCCAGCAGAAAGGCCGAAAACTTTCGACACGCCATAGATCGCGCGCGGCGCGGGCTTCGATCGCTGCGACGAGTGGTGGCGGGGTTCGAGCTCGTTGCTAAGGAGATTCCAACCCGCCCGCCCGCCCGCCCGCCCGCCCGCCTGAGCCCCCTCCCCTCGGCAAGACCGAGATCCCACCACACTCCTGTTACCCCCTGCCTGCAGGTTGGTCGCTCTCTCTCTCTCTCTCTCGCTCTCTCGCTCTCTCTCTCTCTCTCGCTCTCGCTCTCGCTCTCTCTATCTATCTATCACGACCTTAGCTCTGGCTATACTCCACTGCTACTGGCAATAGCTCAGCTATTTCGACATATAGCCCAACTCAACGGTCCTCCCCGCCCAAACATTGGGATGGCTGGCGAGCGGGTCCCCTCCATGCTAACACGAGGAGCACGAGCACGAGCGCGACCACGAGGTCTTTATCGCTCGCGGATTGCGTTCAAACCTCCCCCTCTCCCCCTCCCCCTCCCCCGCCAGCTTCAGTCCCAACCAAACGCATCCGAACACTCACACTCAACTCCCGCCGTGGGGCTTTCCCCGCCATGTATCAATCCACGCGGCATATTCTAGACATGCGCTCGGCGGGATCGCCGCTCCGCTCCGCACCGCACCGCACCGCACCCCACCGCAACGCACCGCAACGCAGATCCCGCTCGAATGCATTCATCCATAGGCGGGTAGCAGGTAGGCGTCCGCCCTCCCTCGTGGGCGTGGTCGTGGATATCCCGCCTTGAGGCTGACTTTTGCACGCCGTCGAGGGCGCGGCCCACGCTCAGCTCAAATTGAGTAGTAGAGTCTCTTGAGCACCGCGTAGCTTTACCCGAGCCGTCGGCTCCACTTGAGCACATCTTCTTGAGCCGCAGCCGTCGCCGCGACCCCGTGTCTAGGTGCCAGGTCTCACACGAGATGGGATTGGGACTGTGTTATGTTGCGCTGCGAACCCTTCCTGTGCTTCCGCCGCGCATCTCTTACCCCCCCCAACATCGACGGGCTGAACCACGACGGCTCAACGCGCTCCCAACTCAAAGCCCGTTGTTTCTTGACTTCTGCTTATGTACGTGCAGTGCACAATACGTGAGGAGAACGAAGGAGGGACGCCCGCAGGAAACAGGCAGGAGAGAGCGAATTGCGGGCACTCACGCTGACTTAGAAAAACGCATTCGTTGCCAGACATCGAGATAGACATAGACACAGCTCTCCAGAGGCGTCCAGCACAACCCTTTCCCTCAGTGGCAATAGTCTGTTTCTGTGCCATTTCTCGATTTATGCAATGTCATCCTTCCGCAGGGGGCTATGCTAATATGCTAATCTTCTCTGTATCCTTCCGATTTTAACGGATGTCCCGAAGGACAAATGTCCTACGTCACCGGACTACTCTCGGACTTGAGCTATTGAATTTCCAGTGTCCAAGACGACCGTACTCCGCGGCAGAGGATATATTGTTGGGTCGTAGTGGCAGTGGTATACACATGTCATTGTTCATAAGCGGGTTGAGAGTTCAAATTCTCTTCGATTACACTAGCAGTACTTTTCCCATACATATATAGGCCACGGGCCCCTCACCACAACTTTCGGAGGGCAGAAACGCAACGAAGGCCCCCAATGAAAATTATACAGGCCCCGAAAGTTGCGCAACTTCCGGCGGTTAACCAGCCACATATTTGTTTTTCAACAGGGAGACCGACTGGTGGTTTAAGCTTCTTGATACTAAATTATATTCAACGAGCACTACGTTTCTCAGGCAACAGAGCGCTACGAATTGGCTTACCATCCCATCCCATTCTTCAGGGGCATGGCCTCCTGGACCTCTTTAGCTAGCGGCATCAGCCGTAAAGGAAAATGTGACTGCCGTGCCTGTCCGTTCTGAACTTGGCGCCGGTAGCACAAATCCACAATGGGAAAATAAGGCTCGAAGGTGGTGGTGGTGAACAAATAAAATATTAGATCAGGCCCAGCCAAAGAACCTACAGACGAGGACTTCAAGTGAGTGTGAAACTATGAAATAGGCATAATTACAGGTTGTTGCATTCACTGAAGTCTGTCCTAAAATACTTAAACCACCAGTACCTTTCCGATGTATTGGCCATGGGAAAAATACAGTGGAAGCATTTCGACTCGGATGGACTTGGGCGCTCCAATATGGCCGTTTCATCCGCGCATGTCATGACTCGAATGCGGCCACAACTTTCATAGGTACTGGTGGTTAAAACTAACAGTACCTTTGCCGAGCCTGGAAGCGCCCTGAGCGCCCCAAAAAAATGAACCGATGTGGGCCTTCTTCTATTTTGATCCGACCGGACCCTTCGAAACAGTTCATTTTTATCACGGACTGGCAACCGGAAGCTATTTCCGCTATTTTAGCGCAGAAGGGGAACGATGGCCGTGAACACGTCATCAAGTACGCATCGCGAAGGGTGCCAGACGAACGGAGGAATGACTCAGCACCCCAAGGCCAATGCTATGCAGTAGTCTGGGGAATCCAGCACTTCCATCCGTATCTCTACGAGCAGAAGTTCCGCCTTGTGACGGATCATGAGCCCCTGTTGGCCTTGAAAAACCTCACTAATTACACGGGCATGATTGGGCGTTGGACGGTACGTCTACAGGAGTACGACTTCGACATCATCCACCGGAAGACAGAAGGACACGACAACGCGAACGGACCGACACGTCTGCATCGGCCCGCTAAAGTACCTAAGGGCGAGGAAATCACTCCGTAGAAGGAGTCAGAACCGGTAAACGGGCCTAAGTCTGGACAAGTGGCAGTTGTCCCACGTGGGAAAAAAAAAAAAAAAAAAACATCCACGACCATCACTGCCTCTTCCGACGGCCTAAAAAAATTCAAAAATGGACCGTTTGCAGCATGGGGCCTTCCCGGACAGCACAGCCGTGGTAGGGGGCACGGCGGGGCGTTCAGCAAGAAGAGGGGCAAGGATGGTGGGGGAGGACACGTGGAAAAAAAAAAAAAGATAAAACATTTTGAATATGAAACAACGGGGATCGGAAAAGCGACGCATTCTTTTTTGCCCGGGGTTGGTATCATCCCCGCCCCGCGGCACATCGCCGCACGTGGTATATGGTCAGTCCGGACAGCGCAGCGAGGACACGGCCTTCGAGGGAGACGTCCTCACCTGAGGCGCGATCAACCATCAAGAAGAAAAAAAAATTCCAAAATAAAAAAGGGCGACATGGGTTCCGTCACGTTGGGTGGACCAATCACAGCGACGTGGTTCCGTCACGTTGGGTGTGCGCCTGCGTTTTCCCATCGCCTGCCCGGTTTCTTGTTTTTTTTTTTTTTTTTTTTT